GTAGTTCACTGCCTTCAAATGCCATTCCGTTCAGCTTCAAGGCCGCCTTTCCTGCCATTGCGGCATCCGCAAACTCAACACTAGCAGTGCCCTGGCTAGGCTGAAGCACCAGCTTCACAACAGTTCCGAGGGGCGCCAAAAGTGCCTGGACTCGAGCGTCATTCACAGTGTCGGGCAGGCCCATCAAAGCAATCGATCTAGCAGATATGGCTTCCCGCGAAGGGTTGCCCTCGGTAGCACCATGCTCAGACTGCGTTACGGATGCCGGTGATGGCGCCAATTCACCCGCAGTTCCAAAGGATTTAGTAGACTTTTTTACCTTCGTCTCTTTCGAAATCTCGACTGCCAGGATGTGGTTGCGGAATTTGATGTTGTGCAGCTCAACGACAGCTTTCTCAGCCTCTTCTTTGGTCGAAAACTCCACATACGCGAATCCGCGGTTCTTGCCAGCCAAAGTCAGGGGTACGTTTACTCGTTTAACGCTACCATACTTTGAAACAACCTCAGATATGTGATCCTCCTTGGCTGACCGCTCCAGTCCCGAGATATGGATTTCACGCCCCTCTGCTACCGCGCCTTCTCTCTTCTTTTTGTTGTCTGGGTCCGAGTATTTCGCAACAAGGCGGTACTTGTTTTCAATCAGCGTGCCATCCTTCTCAACTGCTCGAGCTGAGGACTTCTGGTCTCGGAATGACACATAGCAGAATCGGCGGTGGGTATTAACCCCTAAGCTGGGGTAACGGATGCTCAAGATTTCTCCACAACCTTCGAAAATCTGGCGAATGTAATCCTCATCGGCGGCAGGTGGATAGTTAGTAACGTAGATCGTCAGGTCATGACCAGCCCTAACGCCAAGTTGGGATTGGCCAAAATATTTGTCATTGCGCAGCAAAGCAGACCGGGCCTCCTCGGCAGTTGTAAATTCGATCAAAGCCGTTGCAGCTCGTCTCGTCTCATCCTTAACCAATGCGGTAATACTGTTGATATGTCCATATTCCTTGAAGTACTGTCGGATTTGAGGTTGTGTCACGTCTTCCGGCAGATTCTCCACAATGACAGTCGTATTTTCTCTATCCCTCTTCACAACTGTCTTAGGCTTTCGATCTTGGGTCTCCTGGATAGGTTCGTTCTTCTGACGCTTGCTAGCGCTCTCCGACTCATGATCAGTATCGGGCTGATCTTCGCCTCGTTTCCGCTTACTATCGGACGGAATCTCAACCTCTGTGGGTGCCGACGCGCTCACATTTTGGGCAGCGTAATATGCCGAGTATGCTTCTTGCTTTTCTCTCTCTTCTCGCTCACGCCGTTTTCGAACTTCTTTAGCGGCCTTATACACTCTGTCTGTAGCTCTCCGTACAGAGTTGGGAGGTTCATAGTCATTGCAGTGCTGTATGTAGACTTCAAGAACCTTCTCTGGCCAATCTATGTTCCTTCGGGCTACAGCACGGCTCAATACCGATGTTGCTTGGGACGGCACCTTGAAACCAGCAGACAGACTGGATGGTGTAGGACTTCTCATGGTCTGAGGCTTTGAAGAGAAAATGAGCATTTCCCACATATAGAAGCGGAACCAGAAGTCATGGTTGTCGGCATGAATCGGGAGACTGGCCATCTTGTTCCACTGCGCCCTAGCTTCATCAATAGCCCCCTTTTTTTCCGTAAGGTACTGAATGTACATGCGCTCGAGTCGGAATTTGGGGTCGCCTTGGAAGTTCTTGCCATATCGCCTCTTGCCAGTAACTGCCACATCTTCCAATGCAGCGGGCAACCCAACATCAGCAACATCAACAGCCTCATCCCCTGCCTCGGCATCCATAGCAGTCCTTTTGAGAAATCCGCACCACGCAACATACATCTCAATCATTGACTCCATGCCATCTTTGTAGAGCTGTTCCTCACTGGTCGCTGAATGTTTGATCGATTCAATTTCAGCGAAAGGCAACCTGGCATCCTCGGCAGTGAGAATGAATCGATTCCAGAGCCGGCCAGACCAGGGGCAGTGCTGGACGGCACAGCGAATAGGTTCGAGCAGCATTTCAGCCGCTCGGGGGTCTGAGAAGGATGAAGAGAGGAATGTAGCATACTCATACCACATAGATTCATCTGATGAAAACACCCCTGTCAGTGCCCGAGAATAGAGTCCGCGGCAGAGATCAATACCAATGTCTGGTTGATCATTGTTCCGTCGGCTTTGCCGCATTTCCCATTCGATGTAGTCTGACATGACGGTTTTCTGAGATTCGAGGTCGTCGCTCCGTTGAGCTTTCTGGAGTTTCAGTTCAAAGGGATCGCGAGCTGCAATTAAGCGCTTGGCCTCCTGCGCATTCTGTGTAACATCTTTCATAGACTCCTCCCACGAACCCTTGTTGTATTCCGACAGAAAGCTCGAATACGCTTGCGATGTTTCGTCCCAGTTGAGATGGGGGGTCAGAAGACGGTTTCGGTAGAGGTGACTTATGCGCTTCACCCCCTCGGGCGTTTTGGTTTTCGCGAGGAGTTCCAGCTCCAGCGAGACCCAACGATTCCAGAGCTGATGACTATCGTCCAGCCGATACTTGACAGCCTCGTAACCCTGCTGCCAGAGATCCAGGGCTGCGCCAAACGAGAATAGCTCCTGGCCCATTACCTGCTCCTCCTCAGGCCAACCACTCGTGGGTGACTGGCTGGCCTCCCATAGGGACCAGAAGTAGTTGCAGTATGCAAGCCATAGTCGCAAACTACCGGGTTCCGAATTAACTGCACGTTTGTATATTTCGACCGCGTTTACACGTTTCTCGAGGTCGGAGGCGTTGCGATCAATCTCCTCGAGGTAAGCCAGCCAGGAATCTTCGCCGATGGGGTTGGCCATGTTCGGAATCAGTCAAGCACTACACCTCAGACACCACCCTGTCACGAGACGTCAGTCTGGAGCACGATAAAGGTTTCGGCTGTCCTTGCCTACAGGTCGCTTCGCAATGCACCTAAGCCTAAACTAACCATGGAAGGTCACGAATTCAACCAGCTCTGGGTGCACTCGTCTTGTAACAGTCATGTAACCGTCAACACGGAAGGAAACCTTTGTCAGCGGCCAGGAAACTGTTTGCGACAATGCGCGACGACAAAAAAACGGCTGACTGAGCATGGTTGCCTACTAAATTGGGCCTGTAGCACCTGCCGGCTTTAATGTGCCTATTGTGGGTGGCCGATAAGGGACCGATAACCCACTTGGGCATCTGTCCCTGCACCCAATATTATCGCCTTTATCTAGGTAGATGTCCTACCTACCAAAGTCACAACCAGTTCTCTGTGGAAAATGGCTAGCAACATCTCTTAAGTGTTTTCACGGAAAACATTGTACAATTTTGTCTATGTGATGAATATATGGTTCAATTAGATATGTGTTTTTATTCCTATCATCAGTGGTATTTCATAGGTGGATATCCTAAAGACATGGAGCTGGTCCTTCCATGTGATAATTTCGCTGCTATTTCCATGTTGTCGCAATTTCGCCACTACAAGACCGTAATGACCGCCAACGACGTGCTGCTGAGATTTTATGGAAAAGAGGAACTAGGGAACCATGTGCAACGTGGGAGGTCGCCTATGTCATCACCGACAACATGTTTACAAGTGTAGGGTATAGGGTAGTCAAGTACCGGACTGCCAGTTAATTAAATACCTGGTATTATGACGCCAATTTTACAGGGCTCGCACAAAGGACAAAGAACAAAGAACAGCGGCATATCCCTGCGGAATGGCACCCATTGCATGTGACTGCTATTACCACATGCGTGAAGTTGAGTAGTAGATGTTAGTATTTATGTCCCTTTCATTTCAGCATGAATTTGCCGACTCTCACAGCTTTCGTGCAACTTCCCACGGGACTTGTGGACTACTGTACCAAGGAAATAGCAAGCCAAACAGTGATACCTTACCTAGTCATGCCCGGCGTGACGTTGACTGCTTTCCCCTGACGCAGATCAGCGCTCCCCACATACCGTTGCAGCCAGGGCAGACTCACGATAGAGGCCTGTTTGCCAAAACTACCAAAGCGTGCGGTATTACTATATTGGCCCTGAATTCAGGTACACTACTATGGCGGCTATCTGAGTAGGATCTAGGTGAAGAAAGTTCAAAACTCCCGGTTACGCGTGGTGCATACCTAGGCGTTTGGAGTGCCGCCACGTTGTGGACTGACCCCTGATGATGACATTGACGAATTCCTTAATGTACAAGCTAGCATGTGGCGTGGCCTCCAGGGGCTCCCTTTTCAAATTTCCCTTCCCCGGGTGTTTCAGCCCCTCACGCAGCTGATCGAGGGAGCAGCTGTAGGAGATGAATATGGCAAGGATCAGAGTCTCCCCAAGAGCAATAATTGTCAACATTACAATAGCACCAGTTGGTTGTGCTTGATCTTGAGGGATCCATCAGACCACCACCTTCCTAGACCAAAACAGAACAACTAGTAATAGTCTGCGTACGAGCATCCATCGGAGCCCTGGATGTGGAAGCGAGGGCAGGAAATATTGTAGCGGAGGGAATCAGCCTTTTCCATCCCACCGTCTGAAAGAATCCTCCACGAGCTAACGCCAGAATAACTGGCCTCGGGAGGCGACATGTGTTGCCCCTTCTAGGTAGTGAGATGAGACAGCACCTGTTTGCTGTGCGCCCCCCTTGATCCTGCGCATACTCACAGGCACCTCACTCATGCACACCGATGAATGACCTGACCTCAGCGGCAGCCAGCTTGGGGCGAATGAGGAATGCTCAATGCACCCGTAATAGCAGCGCTGGCTCCTGAGTAAGGCAGGCACGAAGCGCCTGGTGGGACCGTTGGCGCCGTCGTCGTACCTGCCTTAGGCCAGGCGCTGGTGCCTGGCTAGTAGCTCAGCGGCTGGCCACTAAAATAGCAGCTGTCGTTGGTGGGTAGTTGGAAGCTTCCCTCTGCTGCCTCTGAGCTCAACAAGGGCAATTCTTGATGCTGAGCGCTACAGGCATCCCGTGTGGTAGAGAGAAAGACATCAATTGGAGTGGTCACGCTTGAAAATCGCACCAATACACCAGAAATTGGCGAAGTGAGCACTGGGACTAGCTAGAGGGGAGGGGATCGAGTGGGAGATGAAATACTCAGCCTCATACCTGCCCTGTTCCCGCACGACGATTATCGTACTGGGGAGAGGATGTGTGTGTACTGGTACCTTCACCCACTGCAGTATGCAAGGAACCCGCCGACGAAAACCCCATCGTTAAAGTACTATACCTTACCCTCCCTACGACTACCCTGACCGCCGGACGGAGCGGCTGGCACTTCCTGCCCGCCCTCTGGAGACTGAGGTCTTGTCCCGCAGAAGTGAAGGGGCGGTCCCAGCTTCCACCCTCCAGGGGCCAGCAAAAGACCATCGCTGGTGGTCGCATCCATGATCCATCTTTCTGTTTGACGCTAGTGCTGTCTGGTCCCCACATCTGCATCTCTCACATATCCCACTGAGATCCCTCGCGACCCATCCATGGGATCGTCTTTGTCTTCACCTTCTATTCAAATCTGCCACTCTCATTCTTTCTTTCTCTTCTGCAGGTGCTTAGGCTCCGTTCCGATCTCTATTTACATTTTCTCACTTTCTTCTAACCTCTTCCTCGACTCGGCCCTCCTAGCCCGATTTCAGGCGCTTCTTTCGACCCGAGGATATCCATTGCCTTCACATTTGTCCCTGTTCAAAACTCGATTTTTTTCTCCAGACAAACTTGCAAGCTCAGACTTTTGTTTGCCGGTGTCAAGGCTCCTTGGATCTGAGATAACGTCTACCGCCTTCCTTCTCATTGTACGACCGACCCATTGCGTAGGCACTACCCACCTTAACTTGGTGTGCTCTCTGGAATTCAGGCGTGTGAAACATCACGTTCATTACGATCCATACAAATCTACCCGTGCATCTCTCGCGAAATCGCGCGACTGAGATTGGCTTCCCAGGCAACAGTCGCCATCCAAATTCCACGCCAAAGACGGGGCATTGTCATTGAATACCCCGTCATCTTGCTTCACTGACAAGACCTTGTGGCTGCACCACACTATTTGAGTGTTCTCGGAGCACTACCGCTTTGACGGGAAACTGTGCAATCTTTTCCCTTTCAATCTATTACCGAGAACTGCGGTGATAAATATTCTTTTCACAAGATGCGTAGCCTTCTTGTTTTGGGCGCAGTGGGCGCGCTTCACATACTGGGCGCCTCAGCACAAGACGCCAAGGCAGACTGTATTGTAGGTTTTCTCGCCAACCCCCGCATAGGCCAGAAGCTGGAGAAGCTATTCATGGATAAATCTGGCCTGCACTGAATTTTGTACTAATTCCCTAAACAGCAAAGGGGTATTGCCAACGCAATTACTCAAGTCACAACGTGGGGATGCGCTTCCGCCGAAGACAAGACGTGTCTCTGCGGAAGTGCTCTCACACAGTTCAAAGAATCTGTAGGCCGATTTGCCTATACCGATTGTCAAGCCCAGGCCGATGAAATCACTGGATTTTTCAATGATTCATACTGCAAAGGTATTCCTCATGGGCCGAATCTCTCTTCAACCACGGGCTAATCGAGGTGCAGGTGTTGTTGTCCCATCGTCAAGTACAGCCGTACCGAGCTCAACCACCGTCGTATCAACCTCGGCCGCCTCATCCACATCCGTAGCGGAAACAACATCAGCGGTCTCTTCGTCTGCCACTACACAATCATCATCGTCCTCCGAAGTATCCACCACAGCAACATCGACCGCCTCTTCCTCTTCAGCGACCAGTGGAGCTTCTACGACCGTACGATGAACCCCGATTGGTCCCTTTTTGAGTGTGAAACTGACACCTGATAAATAGCTTGCGACATCTGCGTCCTCAACTTCGGCGACTGCTGCTGCTACCTCGACCTCAGCAGGCAAGGATAGCAGTCAGAAGGATGATGACACGGAGGCGGCTGGGGCAGCCGGAGGACTCTCAAAGGGCGCAGCGGTTGGAATTGGTGTTGGTGTTGGTGTTGCCGTCATTGCAATCGTCGTTGTTGTTATTGCTCTCCTCCTTCGACGCAAGCGACAAAACCAAGCTCCTGCTAAACGCCCCATGGACATCTCAAGACCGATCCAGAAAGATAGCAGGCCTTATGCATCGCAGGACCAGGGCTCTTATATGGAGAAGCGAGGGGGTGAATCATTCGAAATGCAGGCGAACCGATATGAGGACATGTTGCCGCGGCAAACACCTCGTACTATGGTGTAGCCAATCGGGCTCTGTTCCTTATACCTTGATCTAAGAAGATTTGAAGATCAATCACCGCCGAAACATGAAGAGGTAGAATACCGCACGAGGCCTGACTGGAATGCTGTACCTGATCTGCTGGCAGTGAGGTATCGGCGGTCCTGGGCATTCTTGCCTCACGAGGAGCGTGCGTTTCTTTGATCTGTTTTGAAATTTTGGCGATTTGGAGTGCAAGAAAGTTGACCTTTGACGTTTACGTTTGCGTGTCCGTTCGGTATTACTCTGTTCGTAGAAGGTGTTCGGTAGTTGGGACCGATGTTATGATAAATCATGAAGCGTTAAAAGCAATATGCAAAGTCGTTGAGGATCGGTCGTTAGTGACGTTATGCCCGAGGGGACCCATTTGAACATGCCAGGTAGGTACCTAGTCTTTCTTTGCGAGTACTTATCTAAACACTCTCCTCATGGAAGATATCGAGCCCGGGAGTTGTGCTAACCAACACAGCACTGAGATATGAAAAAGAAAGAAAGGGAAAACAATAAGTTTGTTGTATACTTCCTGACCTGCATCGAAGTCGCCCTCTATCGACATCGCGTATTCATTCTTATTGTACATATGCTGTGTGATACATTATGTTTACAAACGCCTTCCACCAGGCCTCTCGGTCTGATCATCTACCAGGAATAATAAGGTCGTTGGCCATGAATCTTACGGTTGGGCAGATGCACCCATGGTCCCTTGGCTTGCTTCTTTGCTTGTCGCTCTTCGTACTCCCTTATCCTCGTCTTCTCCTCCTTGAGCACTACCGTGATACCTACAAATTGTCATTATTGGAATCCTGACGAGTAGGCGAGGCTAAACAAATCGGTGAACTTACTCGTGGCAGGGTGTTGAATGACACCCATTCGTCCTCGGCCCTTGTAATCAATCTCTTTACCACGCCACTCTCCACGGCCAACCCACGACTGGGCAATATAAAGTCGGCTTGGGTCTGTGATCTCTATCCACTTCCCTTCCTTTGTCTGAATCTTACGGGGCTTATCAAAAAGCTCCCCATTAACTCGTCCGAGTCCCATTCCACGCTGAGCGATGGCGAGATCGCGAGCCTCTTCGAGATAGTATTTGATTTCAGCACCCATCTTCTTCTTTGACCATTGCATTTGCGAAATGGCTTCGTCGACAGTCTTGCCTGAAATTTGTCGAGAAAGCATAACAAGCTTCTTGACCGAAGTAGGGAGAAATTCGCTCTTATGTAACAGCTCTCTCTCTGTCATCGTAATCCTCTCCTCCTTGGTAAGCTGCCCATTACGCTTGACCATCTGTATGACCTTTTTTCGTTGCCAGCGGACTCGTGCACGTGGGTCGGGGTCGGTGACCATGGCTGTATTTGCCCTTGTTTTCTCTGTCTCGCGAGTCAACTCCCCGGCGGGAGAAGCCGCATTTTGCTTTGACTTCGGAGTCTCGATCTCATCCTGGAAAATGCTGCCTTCGGTATTGCTCGTCTGCAGGGTCCGGGCGAGCTGCTCCTGGCGTTTCTTGGGATCTTCGAGTGCTACGCCGCCAGCGTCCGATGCCGAAGTTTTGCGAACTGAGTTACTAGCTCGTAGAGATTTGAATGCTCCAGACAGAGCATCAATCCATTTCGATCGAGACTGAACTGTAGGGCCTAGGTTATTGGAGAGTACCGCGGGGGTTCGGCGTAGAGATGAGGCTGCAAGAAGGCGGCTTTCGTTAGTCATTGCGAACTGTCTGGGGAGGAAATTCGAGCACAGGGTTGTTCCTACCTGGCACGGCCAGGTGCCGAGCGGCCACGCGAATTGCCATTGCGACAGCTTGAATTGAGCGCTACTCAATACTGCAATAACTGGCAATCCGGAGAGCTTCGAGATACAGTGAAATTCTTCGGCAGGTACGTACTTTTCCTGCCTTCCGTGGATCTGCCGGTCCTCCGGTCTTTTCCATATCACGTGATGACTTGTGGCGCGATTATCCCAATTGACCTCTCACATCCTACCTATTTGTCTTTGACTGTATCTAAACCGCCCGACCTTCACACAATCCGCTCTCAACAAAAGCAATCGCACACTCGTCACAATGGCTGTCGCACCAATTACTGGAGTACGTTTTCCTCTCGATTCAATGGCTCGCGCGGCGTGCCTTGTCCGCCTACGAACACCCGGTGGCCCGGTATGAGCTCACTTTGTGCTAATTTCGATTCGAACAGATGCTCCGACGAAACCTCGTCCTGGACCTCGGAATCGCCCTCGGTATGTGATTGGGATGCTGCATGGAATTGCCGACAGCGCTGAAAGCTCGTTGAGCTCGGTGACCGCACTTGTGGGAAAAAAGTGGCGTGACTGACCGAGGCTATAGGAACCGGTTTCGCCATGGCCAACCTCTTCTGGTAAGCACTCTGCGGATGGGAAATCAATTGGGTTCTCGGATCACAGGATCTAACGATTATGGCAGGTACGGTTACCACGCTCCCCGAACTGCGGCCCGTGACCAGTTCTACACCAAGCTCGAGGCCGAGCGGGCTGCGAAGCAGTAAGCTGTTCCGTTGAACGACTCGATGCCCTGCACCCGAGGAATGGCGAAATGGACAACGAGCCCCATCGATGGGGTAGATTATAGACGCTATACAGCCGACTGAGGCCTTCTCGCCGGACAAGATGTACAATACACAATGGCGACTGATGAGGCATTGTTTTGCCCGGCCTCGGTGGGGATGGATACCAAATAGTACTTCTTCGGAGACTTAATCAATGCTGCTGAGATATCTCTTTTGTGATACCACTTTCTTGACCGAACACGATGCAGGAGCATGCATGTTCGTCTGGCGTGCGTTGTGCATATGAATTCTGAAACTGAGCTAGTTTCACCGAGCACATGTGATGATTGGACTAATGTGATAAAAAGTGATAATGTAAATTATAATCTAGTAGGTAAGTGTAACAGTAGATGTTGGTACAATGGGTGTGATGATTCTGGAAATTGAATTATTGTGATGGTGATGACGATTGCGGAGGATGCCAGTGACTCGACCACTGAGCAGGCGTTGATACCTCGGATGTGTGATTTTCACTACCAACGCCGTCCGGCTGGGCACCTCCCCCTTCAAACGCAGTAGTCTCGACTGTGAAGGTTCCCTTTTTATCTCTGCATCTAAGACAATTGGACATTTGTTAGCATCGCAGCTTCGCTATTCTGTGCTGGGCCAAATCGGGTCCTCACTTTCGAAATAGCCGCTCAACAGCAAAACACTGCACGGCGCTCTCTCGCGTCAGCGGCCTCTCGACCTCGCAGTTGTACTGCAGCATCCCAAAGAGCTTACAGCCAGACAATTCTATCTGGCGGCTGTTCCCCTCGACCTTGCGGCGCCTGCCACGAGCGTCCTCCTGCACCTTGGTGGGAAGCTCGGATGCGGGGAACGGATGGCAAGGCGGCGACATTGTGCCTTGCGCTTTAAAAGCTAAGAGAGGGGCTGATGCTGAGTACTTGACGCTCCTCCGCTCAAGTGCATTCGTGGTGATGGAGGCGGCAGCTGGGAGCCAGATTCTGGGCGAAATTGAAGAGATGAGTTTGGAAGAGGTGAGTGACGGATCGGGAGCATCCGATTTCCCTGATCATCACAGCCTCGTTCATCATGACACCATCACTTTGATATCCCCCTCCCCAACCACTTCGCCTTTTTGATATTTTTATAATTCGGGATTGCTCTGAAGAGCTATTATTTGATTGAGGCCGCCATATGTAAACCCTTCTTAGCAATTCTCCTTGTAAGAGAATGATTGATTTGACGTCAATCTTCACCCCACATTGTACATTCTCCAGGATTTGATGGATCTACCATACTTCCATGATATACCCCATATTCAAACAGTGCAAGGGTTTAAACTGGTACGACTGCTAACATGATTTACTTGCCAGGTTCTGCTTGATCTTCGCACAGCAGCATCAGGCAAACCAGGTGGACGACCTCCTCCGAAAGCAACCCATATAGAAGAGCTCGACGGCCTCATCGCACGTCAGTTCCGAGCCACTCAAGTGCCAACATTGTCAATCACCGGCCGACACCACCCACTCCTCTACAAAGTGGTATCCAGACTCGTATCCCCGCCATTCTCCCACGCCGTACTCATCCTCGATCTCGATGGGCGATTCGACACCACCCGCCTCACCTGCACGGGTGCAGACGCCCATCACATCTACATCCAGCGGCCGTCCAGCGCGGGCATCCCGAGCAGCGCGGGCACGGAAGAAGCCGCCGCCGCCGACACCACGGGCGACAATCTGAAACGCCTGGTGGCCGAGGCTCAAACCTTCATGCTCTACGGCGAGGCGTCCAGGCCGAGCGCCAACCGACACTGGTGGGGAACCATTGTCATCCAGGGGTTTGGGGCGGGCGACATCGTGGCCGGCTGGAAGGGGTGGCTGCGTGTCGACCGCGAGAACGTCCGGGGCTTTCCTCCTGGGTGCAGCGCTGAGGAGGCTCTCGCCCAGCGGTCTGCCCGCCACGACGCAGTCGATTCTGCTGGCTGGGCCGCCGAGTCACAGTGGGGAGGGTTCGTTTTCCACGAGGGAGACGAGTAAGCCTAGAGCATCGCTGTGTCGTTCCCCGCGGATTGGATGCTTGCAGTATATCGCTCCTCTCCAGTGGCTCTCCTATCACACCCCTCTCCGTCCTCCTAGAGATTCTCCTGCTGCGGGGCTTTGACTAGCGTTGGCATGATTTACGTACTCACTGTGCCAAGGGCGGTATCCTCGGTTTACAAATGTCCAATACCCAGTCTTCTGGGCTGATGCTCGCCATCCGAATGAATTTCGATGCATAATGCAAGTGTGGGGATACCGTTGGTAAACCCATGGATAGCCATGCAAGTGGATGGTAGCGTAGGCTAATAGTCTGATACAAAACTAGGAGTAGACGGCTCGTTTGAGCCCCAGAGGCTTTTTGTCAGGAAGTGTACTAGGCAATGATCCAGCTTTCACTTAGCCACAAGCGGATGTTGACTTTATCTCTCATGCGTAGCTCGTATCTGGGGCGGCTAGCGTGGGTAAAATAAAGGAGATTGTACGAAGTATCCAAAGCGATATTTGTTGGGGGAGTGTTTTCTACAGGCCTTGTCTCGATAAAATCACGCGTATATGTGAGGCAATTGTTGTAATTTGGTAAATTTGTGCTTCTGTTTCGGGATGATCTAATTGCTCATCCCAGAGGGTATCTGTATCATCAAGGCAGAGCAAGTCTAAGTGCCAAGAGATAAAAAGATCGCGATCTATCTATGGCTTGTCATCTGCTAGTCTATTTGCTTGCCGAATTCTTGCGGTCAAGCTCATGAAGCGAAGAAAAAAGAAAGAAAGGAAAAAAAAACTCCATATCCAAATGTTTCCGTACAAGTCCTGTTATAACCAAAGAAAATTCGTAACGTTCTTAGTGAGAACCAGCTCATCTGTTTAAGCAAGTCTCAGGGTTGGCTGGTTGGAAATCCTAACCTACTCGATGACAACCTGCACCTTCTCGGCATGGAGGACATCTTTAGCTGTAAGGACATCCTGCTTCAACGGAAGAGCAGTGCGCTTCTTCTCCATCTCGCGGTCCAGGCCGTGCTTGACAGCGTCGAGGACGGTGTTGACGGTGATGCGAGGCTTGTAGGCGGGCACAGTACCCTCCTCGTAGACGCCAGTTCTGACGAGGATGCTGTACCAATCATTGTCGGCAACTTCGTTCACGGCGTTGGTGCCGCGGATGTCACTCTCGGGAGTGTCACCAACGAAGTAGACAGTTGAGGGAGGAGCCACCAAACCGTGCTCAGTGTTGCGCCACTGACCCATCAGTCGGGAAGCGAACTCAAAGGTTGAGACCTGGGGCTTGCCGAAAGCGTGGGTAGTGAGCTTGCCACGGCCGCCAGTAAGGTCCTTGAAAGTAACCTCAAACATGCGGCGGAGTGCGCCCATGCCCAGACGGACGTGCTCGTGGGCGGCAGACCAGACAACATCGTTGTGGGAGAAGTAGAAAGGAGGACCCTGGTCAAAGGTGTCGCTGCGAGTGCCAACACGACCACCCTTGGACATGGCAAGGTCAAGCATGATCTGAATATCACCGGCCCAGTCTCTGGAATCGGCAAAGACAAAGACGGCGTCGATCACGACGTCGGAGAAGTCACGGTCACGGGAGTTGGAGTGCTCCTCTGGCGTCAACTTGCGGAATGGCGTAGTGGCAGAGTTGTGCTTGATGATGTCGCCAGGGGTGACAACATCTTTGAAGCCGTAGCCCTCGGCGACGTGACGGCACTTCTCACCCTCACCACCAATAACAAGAACAGTGCCGTAGGTCTCGGCCATCTCGCGCATGGGAGTGTGGCCGCAGATGAACTGACCGGGCTTGATATCTTGTTGAAGTTGGCTCGATAGATCTTGGCATCGCTCTTCCTCAGTCTTACCACCTCCGTTGGTCAAGAAGATGTGAGGACTACATGATATGCTGTTAGTGATTTGTTCTTCTCTGATACTGTGCAGGCGCTGATGTTGGAGGTTGCAGGGTATGATGGCTGATGCAGTGTGACGTGTAAATGGGTCATGTTAGGAGAAGCATACAACTCTCCTCTGACCCAGAAAAAATGTCACGATGCCATCGTCTTTAATGTGGACCTGAAAGATGGCGATCCGGGGGTGGAGTCGAAGCAGTTGAACTTACATTTGAATACCGTATGGGTTCGCGCCATTGAGGAATCTCATAGCCTCGACGGCTTCGGGGATGGCTCTGCCACCGCGGACCAGAACACCGTCAATGTCGAAAGCGAAGACAAAGGAGTCGGCCACGGCATTTTCCAAGGGAGGAGTGATGGGAGTGCCCAGCTGAGCGAGCTGATCCTCTGAAATTGCTCTGAGATCCGGGGATGAGGCGGCACTGGAGCCGTATGTCAGGTTGGAGTCATCAGAGTGACCAGAGTACTGTCTTTGAGGAGGTGCCATGGTGAACTGTGTGTATGGGTTCGTTGTGTAGATAGTCGGCGGAATCGCGAGGAAACAAAACGAGTAGCTGGCTTTTTGATTGATGTAGGACAAACTTGGCTCTGCCAAAGTCTAATGGAATAACAAGAAAACAAAGTCTTGATGATGCTGTGGAGTGGATGATGGAGAAGAACTACCGTCAAGAACGGTGGGAGAGTTGTCTGTCTTTATAGATTTGCTATGGAGCTTGATCTTGATGGACAGACTCCCTCCCCCTGGAGTTGACTCGAGAAGAGTGACATAGTTGTGCTTATTGTTGTTGTATCTATTCTGGAGACTGATGGAAGGAGGCTTGTCTCAATCCATCACAACGAGTCAGCCAGTGGCCGTGGCGAGGGAGGTTATCCACATGGCGGTCCCACAGGCTGAAAATTCTGAGAGAGGCAAGCGATTCACAACGAGGCCGACAGAGTTGACACTAGGAGACGGGCGTCATCAGGATGATTGTGATGGAGGCCGTCAGGAACACGGCTAGCAGAAGGGGGCGCGTTGTCGGATGTGGACTAAGGATTGGCCAGGCGGTTTCATGTGGATCGACCCGGAATGGGGCCCTATGATGGCACGGCACAGGCATGAACATTGGCAAGCACGACGGAGACGGTGCCTACCACGTTACGTATTTTCCTGCTCGTACCTTAAAATTTAGCGCAGGAGCCGATCAGCAGCGGCTCGAGCGGTGAAAACCGTGGGTGGACCCCTGGCCGAATGGAGTTCTTGTGTACATGCAGCTAGGTCCTGCCTGGCGCTATCTGGGCGGCGCAGTACCTCGGCTGAGGTACCCCGGGGCCCAGCTCGCAGCATGGAAACGGTACCTCGATAAGGGAAAGGCTGTGATATTACGACGAGGTACAGGACTGCCCCTCCGACCCCTCCTGCTCCTCAGGCTGGAGGGAGGGCCGGAGTGGGGGGAGGGCAGCCAAACGGCAGACAGGTTGACAGGCAGCCTTGCAAATCATTGCTTGCTTCCGCCGTGGTGAGAAAAGAGGCAGGGGATGATGGCAATAAGCCCGAGATGTTGGGCAAACCCTCGGGTGATGCCAGCCAATATGGACTCAGAGATAACTCAATTCGGCTGTGTGGTTGGATAATACCGAGCTGACTTGGCTTATCTGGACTTGCTGCAATGTGAAGCAATGGATGTCAAGGCGGCGCCAAGCAGGGGTCCTCCGTCCGCCAGATGCCCATCTATCAAGAGATGGAGCATGCAGCGTCATTGGCTAATGGCCTAAACAGAGCCAGAAATTGCGATGTTTTGTTATCTATGATGCTAAACGAGGACGGTGCATCCATACCATTCATGCTTGTTGTGTCTGACTCTTACTGCGCAATATTACTCTAGCTGAACCTGATTGTAATGGCTACCGCGGTCACGGCATGTATCCTTATGCTGTGCATGGTATCCGGTACTTTCTAATCAGAGATTGATACGATGGTGCGG